GATGACTATCATAACTTTGCACATGCCTCCCTAGGATCTAAAGGAATTTTCTCAATGTGCTTTAGGAGGTTTTCCTTTTCTTGACAGTTATAATCCCACTGGCTGTTCCACACGCCTGTATCTTTGTGCACATCTCTAGTGAAGTTTTGTTTTATTTTGTTGAGATAGGGTTCCTCTGGGTAACCCTGGCTGACCTGGAACTTGCTTTGTAGACCAGACTGGCCTTAAACTCACAGAGATCTACCTGCCTCTGCCGCCCAAATGCTGAGAATAAAGGCATATGCCACTATGCCCGGCCATCTCAGATGAATTAACTAGGACCCTTCTTAATGTGTTGATGCCACCTCTTCTACCATCTGTATCTATACAAGGCAATGATTCTTCTAAATTGTCACTACCTCCAATGGCAGGGTTTGAAACTAGGCCTTAAAGAGAAGGAACAAAGTGAAGAACAGCAAGGTGGTTTGAATTAACAAAATGAGTCTTGGCCATAAGCAGGAAAGCACACTGGTAAATAAACCCTATCCCACAATGAGTGCATAAAAAAAGTACAGGACAAAAGACACGGAAAGCCTTGAATAACCACTCCAAAGGTATCACTGCACTCATACATTAAAGGTTGAAACTCAAAAGATGAGGTCACTAAGAATTGAAATTTGATGACACAATAAAGGTCTCAGAACTCTGAAGCCTCTCAGTAGTATGCCAGAAGCCCACAGGTAACTGTGAAGCCAGGCACAAGACTTGAAAGATACGTGAGGGGAACTGTGTTTTCGTCTGCCCCACTGACACAGCTACCTTCACATTCTACCACATTGCCAAGCACTGATTTGCTTGAAGAAAACATATCAGGTAAGAAGAGGTTCTATTTATATTTGTTGTATATGCTGAGTAACAATGGGGTTAAACATTCATATCGCTACTCACTTTCTTAATTGTGTGGCTCTGTGGTTCATAGTGTGGAAAGGACACTGTCCATATTCCCCAACTGAAATCTCTTCTTTGAATATTATCTTTCCTTTCTCACTGCCCTGGCTCCTAGCAACCACTACTAAGCTATATATCTGGAGTTGACTGCCCCAGGGATCTCCTTAGTAGAATCACATGACATTTAACCTCTTATGATAGAATTATAATTTGGAGATGATCTGTCCTGGGAAAAAGCTAATGTGTTAAACCCTTGGTCTTTAGCCAGTAGTGCTTTTGCGGAAGGTTGTGGAAGAGTTGGGTCATAGCTGAAGCAAGTAGATATCATTGAAGGTGCCTTTGAAGGTTTTACCTAATCCCTGGTCCCATTTTCTCTATTTTCTGTTCATCTTGAGACAATTAGCCTCTGCTTCGTGGTCTCACCACAGTGATTTCCTGACTAACCGTACACATGACTTGACATAGTCAAGGACTATACATTTGAATTGCAGAAACTGAGGCAAATCAAGTAATTCATCTCTTTAATTTGTTCTCTCAGGTACTTGATCACACAGAGGCTTTGAGCTGTGGCACTTCAACTTCATATTTATTTTTCAACATTACCATGGTGTGAAAGAAACAAGTTTCCTTCTTGATGATCAGATCAGCCCCATGGCTGGTTTCTCTGAATCACTACACTGTCGCCTAGATTCTTTATCCTAAAATCAAGATACCTGTGCAACTTGGACATCTTTATTTGAGATAGGCCTCTTTGTAGAAAGGGTTTGTTAAATCCATTAAAACTTCACTGGATTTTACTTTTTTGTGATATCCTTTATGACACAATGTTCTAAGTAGCCCTCCTGGTTCTTCTGGTCTCATGTGTAATACATGTCTCTTCCACTACTCCATTGTGGTCTTCCTTAATTCTTTCACTATTCTTTTCCATTAGAACATTTGATTACTTTGAAGTTTAAGGCAAGAAGACTGGGCCTGAGATGCATAGCTAGTTTGTTAAGTCTATGTTGATGTCAGTTGAGCGCAATATTACCTTTATGATAGGAAGAAGTTAAACGACTTCAAGCCTGCTCTGAGCTACCTAATCAATTTGAAACAAGCATGATTGTCTTAATTAGAGTTTCTATTGCTGCAATGAAGTACCATGATTGAAAAACAAGTTGGGAGGAGAGGATTTTTTTCAGATTATACTTCCACATTGCTGTTCATCATCAAAGGAAGTTAGGACAGGAATTTAGGGCAGGAACTTTGAAGCAGGAGTTGATGCAGAGGCCATATTACAATTTATGGACTAGCATCTCATAGCTTGCTCAGGCTGCTTTCTTAAAGAACCCAGGACGACATGACCCATCATGGACTGGGTCCTCTTTCATTATCACTAATTAAGAAAATGCCTTTCAGTCAGATCATATGGAAGCATTTTCTCAATTGATGCTCCTTCCTCTCTCATGACTCTAGCTTGTGTCGTTTACGTAAAACCAGTCAGTACAATGGTCTACATAATAAGGTCATATGTCAAATCAGACAAACAACAGCAAAGACAATGTCTTTCTGAAACACTTAGGGAAATCTAGATCCAGCCTAGGTAGCTTTCAAGATCCCATCTCAAAGTGAAAAAAATTTTAAAGTTTGGGAATATGGTTCAGTGGTTCATGCCTAGTTTGCATGATTCCCTAGCTTCAGTCTCCACTACCAATTGATGTAGAGCTTCCAGTTAAAGAGACTGATGCTTATTAATATGGTTGCTGTGAGAATTGCTCTAGCCATTACAAGAAATTTCCAATAACAGCACTCCCTCCCTCATGCCCTATCCATGATATTTCTAATAAAATCCAGACCCCTCAAAGTTTTTCACAGATTGAACTGGTCTTCTCTTAATCAGTCTGAATTCATCTGAACCCTCACCTGACATTCACCAGCCTCCAAGGTTAGAGTGTGCTCTTTAACCATGCTATTCAGACACATCTCAGACACATGGAGGCATCCTCTCTCCCCATTTCTAAAACTTGAACTCTTTCTTCTGACTGAGTTAAGAGTTCATTTCTTAGCCGGGGAGCACTTAGGGAGGGATCCAGGGCTTCAGCTGAATAAGTAAGAGTGGAGGGCCCTGCTGGGCATAGGTGGAAGAAGAGATCCTTGACTTTGAGAAGGCTGGACGCTCCAGGGGGTGGGAATTTTGAGGGTGGGGAGGTGGGAGTGGGGGGGTAGACAGGGGTTACATCCGCAGAGAAGAAGGAAGAGGGGTGAGGGGATAGGGGGTTCTTGGGTGGGTGGGGGATGGGGTAAGGGGACAACATATGAAATATAAATAAAATATTCAATAAAAAAAGAAAACATAATAGTTCACAAAATAAAAATAATTTGTAAACACTTAAAAAAAAAGAATTTCTTTCACTCTCACAGTCTCTCAACAACCATGGAGGCTTCATCTCTCTATGTTATGCTCCTCTGAGATATGTGCTGACACACCTTCCCACACTGGCTCCTGGAGACACTGTTTTTAGTGGCTGACACATAGGATGCACGCAAGAAGTTCAATCTATGGACAAACAAAGGGTTGTTAAAAGTAAAACCATGCTATGCCCAAATGCTGCTTCTTTTAGCAATGAAAATGGGGATGCCTTCAAACATTTCCAAGAATTATATTTTACCCGTTTTATAGATGGTTAACTTGGGGGAAATGAATTTCACTGGGTCTCATCCTGAAGTCCATTCCTACCACTTTCTCCCTAGAGCACCAGGAAGGGTACACACATTAGAAAACATCTGAAAATAAACATCACAAAATACATTTTAGGGAATGTATAAGGGGTACAGATCAATGACAAAGCATTTGCCTCACAGGCACAAATCATTAAGTTCTATTAGCATTTCAGTTATGAATTTGAAAGGGACATGGTCCCATGAAAGGGTCTGGAGAGGGGAGAGAAAGGGGTACAAATTATATAAATATAGTACTCACATATGAAAGTCTCAAAAAATTTAGAACTTTTAAATGAAAATAAAAAAGAGGGCTGAAAGATGGTTCAGCACTTAAGAGCATTTCCGTCACCCACAAGACAGCTCACAACTGTTTGTAACTCCAGTTCCAGGGGATCCACCATCCTTATACAGACATATATGCAGGCAAAATATCAACGCACAAAGAATAAATAAATCTTGTTTTTAAAAAGAAAGCAACGGCAAACAAAACCAGTAATAAAAAAAAACCCTTATACATGTCAGGCAAAGTGATGCATGCCTACAATCTCAGGACTCAGGAGTATGAGGCATGCAAATTGCCTTGAGTGTGAAACTAGCCTCAGCCACATGGTCAGTCTGAGTGAAGTCCAGCATGCTAATCAGACCCTGCCCCCCAAAACAAAAACACTAAGCAAACAACAACAAAAATGTGATAGATTTTCAACCCAAAAAGAGAAGGAAGAAGAATCACTAGTAATTTTGACATTCAGATACATCTATCTTATTTTGTATCTTCCCAACTGGTTTCACAATAGACAAAATAAATAATCACAATCATACTATAGTATGTATTTACTATTCTCTCTTCAATTTAAGTTATCATCCTGGTTCCCAATTGTCCTCTGTTTGACATGTGATAAGTGAAGAAGCTTGCGTTTAGGTAATGTACAGGAGAACTGTTTATATTTTCCAGAATCACAAAATTTTCTATTAATTTAATTATTATTAATTTGTTTATACATTATTGATAGATAATGTTGGTTTTTCATAGACAGGAGCTATTATGGAATCGTGCTGGCCTTGAACAGCATCACCACTATTACAAGTAGTGCTGTGATGAGCATCATTACGGGTGAATGTGAGCAATGTCATTGTGTAGTTGGACCAATAGTCAGAAGTGGAACTGTTAGAGAGGGTGTAGACCACTGTCACACTGTCAGTAAATGTGGCCCCTTCTCTGAGTTTGCTAAGATCACACTCACAACAGCATATCCACACTTTCCCAAACACAATTGAGTAGTCCCTCATGGTAGTGGAACACTGTCTTAAGCCAAAGACAGCCACTCTTATGCTGTACTGTTTTTATTTACAGTTGTCTCGTGTTCACTGTCACCATGTTGTTGCTTAGCAAAAATGCCAACTGCCACGTCGGAGGTTTTGCTTTGACATCCATAGCATGGGTCCTCTGCAGCATCGCCACAGGCCTCCCACAGTGGCGAGTCTGGTACTTAAATGAAACCGTGTTCACCAAGCCTACCACGGCCTTTATAGGAATGTGGAGAGTCTGCATTTATCACCAAAACAGCAAACCTGGCAGTGCCAGAGTGTGCCATGAGTACACCTACCATGACAGCTTTATCCCTTTGGATGTTCGTATCGTTCAACACTTGTTACTGTTCTCCAACATGCTTGGATTGATTGGAACAGTTACTACTATTTTTGCTCTTCGAAATGTGTATGCAGAGAAAGTACAGAAGAATGCTACCTACAATCCGTTCATCATTTCAGCCATTCTCAACATCATTGTCAGTATCTTTGTCTTCCTTGCCGTCTTATTCAATTACTTCTCTGTCATTAACAAAGCAGGAATTGCCTTCCCGCCATCTTTCCATATGCCATTATACCCACCTAAGCAGAGAATTGGAATTGCTAATGTAGTGGCATGTCTATGTGCTCTCATGTTTTTAAGCAGTGGCCTTATTTTCATTTCTTACACATCTTCCGTGGAAAAGCAAGTGTTTCCTGAGATTTGAAACTACATTTACAGCTAACATCACTGTGAAACCCCCAGGAGTTATAGCAAGTATTTTAAATACATTTACATAAGATTTCCAAGGACTCAAACCACACTCCAATAGCCTATGAACGAAGATGGCCAAGATGGCCTTCTATTTTCTTTGTTTGTCTTGTTTGTTTTATCTCATTGGTTAGATTATGGGCTTTCACTAAATAAAATCTTGTTCATGCACTGATTTGATGAGATCTGAGTTTTGGCTGCTGTTGGTTATACATGGAAATGTATGTTGGAGCGCATTTATTTCTCACATCACTCTCTGAATCCAAGAACAAAAGCATGCCAATTTCCCCTGGCATGTTCTCCAAATCTCACCTCTATGAGACTCTGCAATTCTGAAGGTTTACATATTTCCTCTTTTCTCCTGCCCATTTAAGCCATATTTCCCAGTGTTTTAAACTCTGTGTATCACATCCTTTCATCCCCATATAGTACAATACTATTCTCTAAAAATGAGCATTTCTTACCTGATCATAACATGCCTTTAGAGATTTAACAATTATCCTTTGTTATCAAGCCCCCAACTGCAATCTTGGATTGTTTGATGACATATTCCTGACATATGTATTTTATTCATACACTCAAGACACTTTTGTTTTCTAATGCTTTTATTATGCACAGAGGCAGAGCAGGGTTCAGTCAGTAGTGGCTTCTTTCCCCATGGTAGCTATGATGCTATTTAGCTCCTTATATTAGTGGGGACACTTCCCCTCCCTTTCCTCAAGGGTCTATTTGTCCTTTGAATCTGAGAATAGCTCCACAGCACACCATTCACACAGTAGTATACATAGCTCTGTGAGCATGCTTCCTACATAATGCTTCTGGTGAAACACCTCTGCTTGCAATTATACCTTATCTTACTCACGTTCTTGGTAACCTGTGGGCCTTGTTAACCAAGAATGCTGGATAAAGGGCAGCACGAAGTCCTGTCTGCAGTAGTAGAAGTTGTGATATGGATTTTAATATTGTCTCTATCATTCTGATCCTTTCCTTTATTCCCTCCTTTCCTCTTCCTCCTCCTCCTTGTCCACCTCCTCCTGTTTCTCCTCCTCCTTCTCTTCCTCCTCCTCCTTCCCGTCTTCCTCCCCAGCCCTCCCCCTCCTTTTCTTGTTTATTTTTTTCAAGACAGGGTTTCTGAATACAGCACTGGTTGTCCTGGAATTCTCTCTGTTTGACCTCAAATTCACAGAGATCTGACTGCCTCTGCTGCCCAGGTGCCAGGATTAAGGTCGTGTACTACCACTGTCTGGCCTCTCCTTACCTTCTTTTTTATTTTGTTTGTTTGGAGACAGGATCTTACTATGCCACACAAACTAGCCTTAAACTTGTGAATTATAGGATGGATCAAATATGAAGAAATTTACATTTATTAAAGACAAAAAGAAAGGTGCTTCATGAGAAAGATAGAATGCACCCAAAAGGATTATGTTGGGTTCTTAAAGAACTGTCAATTATTTTTCTTTTCTTTTTTCTTTCTTTCTTTCTTTTTTTTTTTTTTATAATGAGCATTTAGCACCAGTTCTCACCCTGTGGATTGAAACTCCTTTGGCAAACCTCTATCTCCAAAAATATTCAGACGATGATTCCTAACAGTACAAAATTACAGTTATGAAGTAGCAGCAAAAATAATGCTATGTGTGGGGTCAGCACAACAGGAACTATATTAAAGGAACACAGCATTAGGAAGGTTGAGAACCACTGGTAGACAGGGATTTGGGTGGCTTTCAATTTACATTCCTAAAGTTGCTAAAAAAAAAAAAGTTCTCATGTTTTAACCTTGCCTAAAAAGTGTAATTTACAACAAGGTCAAAAGATAAAGGGTTTTTGTTTTTATTTGTGTATTTATTTATTTATTTATTTATTTTTACTAAACAAAGTCATAAGGTGGATTTATGAAGGGCATTAAAGGTCTAGAACAGGGGAGTATTAGAAACAAAAGGTTATATATCACTTTAGTTCTAAGTAAACACAGCCTAATCACTGTCACTGAGTATGCACCATCTAACCCATTGTGAGCACAATGTTATTACAATTTCTTACCATTCAATCTTGTTTCTATTTGAGATGTGACCTTTTACATACAATAACTTTTAGATAATATGTCTTTCTTCTGTGTGTATGCATTATTGAAACAAAAATACAGCTTTCATTTTGAAAGGAATAAGAGATAATTTACTCTGGAATCAAATGTGAGTGTAGCATAGTCTGGAAACATGGATTCAAATACTACAATCCTCAAATTTTTACCATTACACAATAAAAGAAAGTAATAGATTATGGCACTTTTTAACTTTTCAAGGCATTTGTTTTAAACATGCATGAGATCAAGTAGCTGACTTAAATTAAAGCAAAATGAAAAAAAAGCCTCTACTATAGGCTATGTATATTATCTTTACCTTTGGGTTAATAGAAGCTAATGGTATCATTGTACATTCCAAAGAAGATTATTAGGTCAAAAATTGATGAACAACAAATGGATAGTAAGAAAGATGAATATGGCCCAAGATGAGCTGTCTCCAGAAATCTAACATTCCAACATTCCACCATCATGGAAATAAGGTCTAAAAAGTCAATCATCTTGTAGAGCCTTCAACTTTTTTTCCTTTCTATAGTCTTCACTTTACCATATTACTGCTGCAACGTTGTAGTTTTAAAAATATTTTGTGCCTAGATTAGTTGGAATTCTCTAGAGAAGAGTGTGGTGGTTTAAATGAGAAATGTCCCCCATAGGCTCATGTATTTGGACAAATAATCCATAGATGGAGTCCAGTTTGGGGAGGTTATGAAACATCTAGAAGGTAGAGCCTTTCTAGAAGTGAATTGTTGGGGACAGGCTTTGGAAGTTTATAGCTCCGTCTTATTTCTGTTCCCTCCATTTCCTGTATGTATATGAAAATGTGATCAGCCAACTTCTTGTTCTTTCTGCCATGCCTTCCTCACCATTGTGAACTCTCCTTATGGAAGCATGAGCCAAAATAAACTCTTCTATAAGTTGTTTGTGGTCACAACACTGTATCATAGCTAGAAAGAATTAACTGATAAAGACATTAGTACCAAAGATGGGTTGTTTCTGTGAAGAACCTGACCTTGTTGGTTTTGGAGAAATGTGAAAGACTTTAGAACTTTGGATTAGAAAAACAGTTAAATGTTGTTAAGTAGAGCTTAGCAAACCATTTTAGGTGGATCCTAAAAGACAGTAATGATGAGAGTAATGAGATAATGGAGTCCCAGCTTGTGAAGTTTCAGAGGGAAGCAAGGATTCTACTAGCAACTCGGATAGAAGCTATTTATGTGATATTTTGAAAACTAATATGGCTAAATTTTTCCAATATCTCAAGAACTTGACTGGTGTTAAATGAAAAGGTAATGAATTAATTTGGCAAATGAAATTTCAAGACCACATAACATGTAGTCCATGGCATTATTATTACTGATTATTCTTAGGAAGATCTACAATGAAAATAGTGCAAAAATTGCACAGTTTGGAGAACACTAGGAAGCTTAATGTTCTGGCAAAGCCATGTGTCAAGGAAGTTGTGATTATTCAGATTAGATTAAAGGGGCTCTAAGATATCTGCCCAAGGGGGCACTTCTGTGACCTACCTGATAGCCCAAGGAGCTCTGGGACTGGTCACTATAGAGAGAATGTCTTGTGTCTGTATGGATGTGGTACCTGTCAATAATAAATCTGATGATGGCCCATGGCTTGAGTAGAAAATAGGTGGTGGGACATCAAAGAGGCAGAAAGAATGCTGGGATAGAGGGAGGCATGAGAGGTTTGCCTATAAAGATGTGACAAGGTGGACACATGGTAACCTGAGCAGCGGTAACCAGCCACGTGGCAGAAATTAGATTAGAATAAGTGGGTTAAGTTATGATCTAGTCAGATGAGAGTCTAGCTATGTGGCCAAGGTATTTGTAAATTTATTTTGAGTCTGAGTCTTATTTCTGGGAGCATAGGGCTTGGAGAAAGAACTGGGACAAAATTCTACAGATGTTGTCTAACATGAGACAATTAGATCCCAAGCTTATAGCCTGAATATGCCTGGGTAAAAACTGGAGAAAAGTCAGGCTAGCTGAACAATAAACCTGGTCTCTAAAAAACAAACAAATGAACAAAGCAACAACAATAACAACAGCCCAACAACAAAACAATGAAAAAAAAAAGACCAAAGGCAAAGCTTCACAGACGAGCACTGGATGAACAGCTTTGAAGGAGTTTTCCTAGCCAAGGAGCAGGAATCTGAAAAGAAATAGTACAAAAGGTGGCTTTTTAAAGAAGCCACTACTGAATTTAAAAACAGAACACAGAAGTTGGCGCTTCTCCCAAGGGCAGTGCACAGCAGGTGCCAAGAGGGAGAGGTTCCTGGTTACAAATGGGGTGAATGAAGCCAATGCAATGGAGACTTCCCAGAGATGAAACCTATAGGATAAGCAACTTCAGGTCCTTCCAAACTTGGCACAGCCAGTAGGCTCAATCCTGTCCAATGGAAATTGATGATCTGTGCTCATGACTTTCAGAAATCAGCCCTAGTTTGGCTGCTGTAGCCAGAACCAGAACAGAAGTCTGAAATGACTCTCCCCGTAAACAAAGAGACAGGGGCACGGCCAGGTGCAACTCAACTTTTGAGCTAAAACTCAACAGACACAGGAAACAGAGACAGGCAGATCTCTGTGAATTCTAAACCAGACTGATCTACACAATAAAGTCAGGGAAGAACCTCTGCTATAGATACAGCTGCTTGCAAACAACAATCTGAAACTCAAGATGACACATTTTCACCCTTAAAGGTCTGATGTAGGTTTTTGCTTAATAATACTTACACATGTCTTAGTAATTTAAAAAATAGACATCTGTGGTGATTTGAATATATTTGGTCCAGGGAGTGACACTATTAGGTGAGGCCTTGTTGGAGTAGGAAGTGTGCCATTTCAGGTGTGGGCTTTAAGACCCTGGTC